CTCTCCCTCTCTCTCTCTCTCTCTCTCTCTCTCTCTCTCTCTCTCTCTCTCTCTCTCTCTCTCACACACACACACACACACACACCAGTGAGATGCCTGTCCCTTTGGAAGAGTGTCTAACATTTTACACCTTTTTCTTCTAAATGGTGCCTGGGAATTATCTGTGACTTGCACAGTGTCTTAAGATTTCCATTGCTAGGACCAAACACCATGTCTAAAAAGCAAGTTGGGAGGAAAGGGTTTATTTGGCTTACACATCCAGATCATAGTCTATCACTGGAGGAAGTCAGAACAGGAGCTCAAGCAGGGCTGGATCCTGAGACAGAAGCTGATGCGGGGGGTGGGGTGACGATTCAGGGTGCTGCTTACCGGCTTGCTTCACATGGCTTACTCAGCCTGGTAGAGCCCAGAACTACCATCCTAGGGATGTCACCACCCACCACACATGGGCTGGGCACTCCCTCATTGGTCACTAATTGAGAAGATGCCTTACAGCTGGATCTCATGGAAGCATTTCCTCAACGGAGGCTCCTTCCTCTCCAATGACTCTGCTTTGTGTCTAGTTGACACACACAAGCAGCCAGTACACACAGCTCATCCATCCCAATCCCAAGTTTCACAAAACGCTCCTAGAGACGGGTCTGTGTTACCAGCTTCCAGGCACCAAACATGTCCAGCCTGTGACGTGTCAAACATTTAAAGCAAACAAACACCCACCACACTGGGGCTTTGGTTTGGGTCAGTCTCGCTGGGGCTCTTCCTGTTGCTGTGCACCATAGCCACGCCTCTCAGCACAGCAGCTCAGAACAATGACCCAGCATCCCTTCAGGGCTCATCAGACACACAGACTGTCTGGTCCCATCCGAATGGATGAGCAGTTTGCACTGTGTGTATTAAATGTGTATGTGCACATGTGTGCATGTATGTGGAGTCCAGAGGCCAACATCAAATGTCTGGCTCAATCTCTCCACAGTATTTTCTTGAAAGAGGGTCTCTCCTTCACTGGGAGCTCACCAATTTTGCTATATTGGCTGGCCAGAAAGTCCTAGGGATCCTCCTGTGTCTGTGTTCCGTTCCCAGCTCTGATGTTACAGGTGCACACTGCTTTCAGCTTTTTCATGGGATCTGGGAATCAAACTCAGAGCCTCAGGCTTGGACAGCAAGCACTTCACCCACTGAGCCACCTCCCCAACCCAGAATATGCATTTCCCCATGATCCTCCGGTGGCTGGTTTGTTTGTGAAGAACTGAGAAGCTGCTGTAGGATCCCTCCCGTACTTTTTCCCTTTTTAATAGCACCATAAATCCTGAAGACAGGAAGGCTAGAGAAGACAGAGATCATGGGGCTAGAGAAGAAACACAGAGTCAACTTTGCAGCTCGTGGACTTTGGTTTGGGGAGAATTCCTGTCTCTTTAAAAACCAAGTAGGCGCCTGGTGGTGACTTTAAGGCTTATATTTTGTTGTATATATAAATATTTTGAGGCTGCTGGGGGAATTACTTCATAAATTACCTTTCTCAGATAGCAAACACCATATTCCCACCCTGGTGGGGTTAACTGACAGCCAAGCCCTGTTCCCACAAGTTCCCTGGAACAAAGGATGACAACCCTTGTAGCCAGCAGAGACTGGAACATGATACACCACCCCGTGACTTGAGGCTCTTTCTCTGTAATTTTCTTTCCTGGTTTGGAACCTGAATTTCAACTTCACAGAAGGTCATGGAGTGATAAAAACCCTGGGTACACACAGACCTCGATAACTTGACAGTAAATCCTCCCGCAGCAGCTACCAGGCACTTCTGGGTTCTGTGTGTGTAGCCGCTCTCCACCCTCCAAATGTTGGCTACCAGAAACCAAATCGAAGCATTTTACAGACGCTTCGTCACTCCATCCCCAAATGACTTCCAATCTCTCTGTCCTGTTGGGTCAGTGGTCTGAAAGCTTGTCAATCGCACCTCGCTCCCATTGCATCAAACTTTAATGGTGACTCCAAAATTAGCTACGTCCCACACGTGGCTCCAAAACCGGGCACCCTGAAAATGTACTAACTTCCCAGATCCGGACAAAGTTCAACATCTTACAAGAGCTTTGCACTAAACACAAGCTTAGACTAGATCCATTTTAGATACCAGAAAAGACGGTGTCACTTCTCGATCCACAGCGCGGTGCACGTACACTTTTCCACTCTGGTGATCTTCTATAGAGAATAAGCCGATCTCGGGGAATTCATCCACGCCAGGCCCTCTGAGTAAGTACATCAGGGACACATTATTGGACATATTATTGAACAGCTGGAAAGAAGGAAATCAGAAAAAAAATCAAAGGACTCTTCCAATAAATCATGGCGAGCTTCAGATATCAAGGCTAAGAACCAAGGCATCTTTCAGGAATCTAAGCAAGCATCTCACTTCTAAGGGGCTGGGCTAAGGAAGCAGAGGGCTCAGCAGAGCTGTGGAAACAAAGATATGGGGGCAGAGGCTGGAGAGGGAGCTCCATGGTAAGGAGGGCTCTGTTGGGAATATTATGTTAAGGTGTAAACAGAGATTGCACATTCATTTTGACTGCCCATACCCAAATAATCACACAGAAACTATATTAATTACAACACTGGCCAATGGCTCAGGAATATTCCTAGCTAACTCTTAAATTAGTTCTATTATTTTATATTTTACCACGTAGCTCGTGGTTTGTTACCTTTTGCTTCTTGGGCAGCTACATGGCATATGCCTGACTCTGCCTTCTTTCCTCCTCTATTTCTGCTTGGATTTCCCACCTTGCTATATTCTGCCCTGCCATAGGCCAAAGCAGCTACTTTATTAACTCATGGTAATAAAACATATTCACGGAATAGAGAAGGAATCCCACATCATCAAGGTGTGTTACTTTTGCTTATGTTGCATTTGTTTAACTCTGTGAAGCTGTGATTCTTTGTCTGTCTAGAACATCTGATAGTCTAATGAAGATCTGAACGGCCAATAGTGAGGCAGAAGAAAGGATAAGTGGGGCTGGCAGGCAGAGAGAATATATAGAAGGAGAAATCTGGGTTCAGAGGAGAAGTAGCCAGAGAAGGAGGAGGATGTTAGTGGCCAGTCATCCAGCTACACAGCAGTCCATGGAATAAGAGTAAGAAGTAAGAGAATGAAAGAAGCCCAGAGGCAAAAGGCAGAGGGGATAATATAAACTAAGAGAAGTAGTCAAGAAGCAAGCCACGCTAAGGCTGGACCTTTGTAACTAAGAACAAGACTCCTTTTGTGATTCATTTGGGAGCTGGGTGGTGGGCCCCCAAAAGAGTTCAAAGAACTTAACAACATACTACTGCAGTGTTCACCATTCCAGAAAATGAGAGTTTGTTTTCCAGTTGTGTATAGCTTACAACTGCCTGTAACTCTAGCTCTGGGAGATCTGTAGACAGAGATCTACCTCTGACCTCTGTAGACAAAGCTGCTCATGTCTGCAAAGCTATACAAGGACACGCAGATACATGTCATTACAAATAATAAAAATAAAATCTGTACCGGAGAGCTGACTCAGTGGTTACTTTTCTGTTCTTGCAGAAGACCAGAGTTTGGTTCCTAGCACTCATTTCAGAGGCTCACAACCACCTGTAACTCCAGTTCCAGTGAGATTCTAGTCCTCTGGCATCCACAGACACCTACACTCATATACATGAAGGCACTTGAGCGTGTGCGTGCATGCGAACGCACACGCGCGCACACACACCCAATTAAAGCAAAAATAAGTCTTTTAAAAAATAAATTAAAGATATTGGACTGGAATAGAGAAACTGGAAATAGCATGGATGTTTATGGGATGAAAAACACCACACAGAGATGCCTGTCCCATGACCTCAGACATCTGCTGCCCAGGTGGAGGATGTGTCCTGCCGGGAAAGTCTGGCAGCCACACTCTCAAGTGAGAAAGGCAAGTCACAGAATGGAATGTGTGCTGTGCTCTTGGTCCTTTACACGCTCACATTCCTAAACCTGCACCAAAATATCTGGAGGAACACATACCAACTTGTTAATATGGGCACACTTAACTTTTCATAAAGAGAAGCTATGAGCAACCCTTAGCTGACTCTTATTCTTTTTTAAATAAATTACATCATCATCATCATTCGTGTGTGTGTGTGTGTGTGTGTGCGCGCGCGCATATGCCAGTGGAGATCAGAGGGCAACTACCAGGAGCTAGTTCCCTATTTCCTCCACCTGGGTGCTGGGAATCAAACTCAGATTGTCAGGCTTGGCAGCAAGTACCTTTATCCACTGAGCAATCTTGCCCCTCACCCCAAGTGATGGAATTTTACAGGTGTGTACCACCATACCCTATAGCAATACAGGCCTTTAAATAATCTCTCCCTACAATCAAGAATGAAATAAAAATAAAATAAAGTAAATGTGCCAGGCAGTGGTGGCACATGTTTTTAATCCCAGCACTCAGAAGGCAGAGGTAGGTAGATCTCTGTGAGTTCAAGACCAGCCTGGTCTAACGAGTGAGTTCCAGGACAGGCTCCAAAGCTACAGAGAAACCCTGTCTCAAAAAACCAAAACAAAACAAAAATGCAGGGGGCCAGTGAAGCAGACCTGCACATAGAGTCATTCTCATTCAGTAGAGAGGGAAGACACCAGTCTCAAGGCACACACTCAGATGGTCCCTAGAAATCAGCCAGCAGAGTCCTAGCCAGTGTCATGCCTGCTTGTCTTCACTGCCTGGCTGTAAGTCAGGCAGGCACATAGCAAGGCAGCTGCCAAAATCCACTCTATAAAGAGGGTGTGATCCTGGATTCTTTCCCCCAAAGAAATAATCAATAAATGTTAGCAGGAATCAAGACCCCACTCCTCCTTCCAGAAGGGACTTACTGCTCACAGAGGCCAGAGTATGTCCTTACCTCCCCAACAAGTTTGGGAAAGGGCCCCGGGTCTTCCTCCTCCAGCTCCAGGGTGGTGAGAACCCATCTTCTCTTGGACCTCCGAAGAGGCTGGTGGTTCTGTCCCTACAGGGCATAGGATGGCAGTATCAGTGAAGATGGAGTTGAGGCTGGCGGCCGGGATCTGTAGTATCTGAGTGTCATAGCTGGGCACTGAGCAGACTCCGCATAAGCCTCCTGTCTCTTGTACCCAGAGCAACCACCTGAGCTTGGTCATTACAAATATCTGTCCTCTTAACAACTGCTGCCATTCCTAAAGGTGAGGTACAGGTTACCTAATGATTTCACAAGGTTTGCGAGATAGCTTTGGGAGCTATGCAGACTTGGCATTAAAGAGTTTTCTCTACCAGGTATGAATGTGTGGCCTACGACAATAAGCCAACAGCCTAATCAGAGAAAGCATTCCCTTCATTAGTCTCTCAGTTTTCCTGAAATCATTGACAAAAACGTTTCCATTTGTTACCAGCAGGCTTTTAATGCTAAAGTTACTAGTTTCCCTTTTAACCAACATGTACATATATAGACACAAGACTGAATTGAAGCATTCCATCCTGGAAGAAAGCTCATTAAACCCAGAAAAGAAACAACTCACAAGTCTCAGGAAATCCTTGAAACTTACAGGATACACAAGGTCCCTCCCAGATTTCAAGGTTATATAAGCGCAGCAAGAAGAGAGAATTAATGAGGAAGTGGTGAGGACAAGCATGCAGGCTTGCACCACTGACTGTTTTCTGCTCTTCCCAGTTAGATATGAAGGCCTCACTGGCCCCACGGACAGCACCTGGGCCTCTAGAAGACCACGTGGAGCTGCAATTCTTTGTTCTAGAGCCAATATGAACATGGCACTAAATAAGTCAGTCCTACCCATCTGTGGGCAAAGGGCAGATTCTGGCTTCTTTCATTAGAACTAACTTCCAACCCCACTGATGTGATCAAGACAGTCATCAGCTTCTTCTTGGAAGCTGTTAATGACTCTGACCTTAAAAGCAAAAATGACACTAACTAATTATTTATGTCCTTATCAGTGTCCTACAGCAATTGCCTGAAGTAGCACAAATACTCGTAAAGAACCTCTGCATTTTGATTTTTGGTCCATGGTTCTAGGGATACAACTCAGAGGCTCCTCCTGGGTGCTAGGCAAGCGCCATGCCACCGGGCTACATCCCAGCCCCTGGGTTTAGTGTCAGTAGCTACAATTTCATGTTCATTGCATATCCATTTATGATTACCTTGTCCCTAACCCCAGAGGAAGAAACCAAAGGACTGTTGTGTGTTATCGCTAACAGGAGGGATGCTCAACCCTGAACCTCCTGAACCTCTCCACTATTACCACTGAAGGAGATGGCACTAACCTCATCTGGTCAGGGTTAGTGCAAAGCCGGACATGTGTGTGTAGGAGTCAATGTCAGTTGGTGGCCGTACTTAACTGGGCTTTTCTGTGTCCTCTCTTGTGCTTTATTTACAATAATTGCTAAATAATAGAACTTGGCATTTTCACTGGAAATTCCTACTGTGTGATTTGTATTCCAACGCCCCCCCACCAACAAGCTCATATGTAAGACTGTAGACACACAAAAAGACACACCCTACAATGGCATCCAAAGGTAGCAGTAAACTGATGTGTGTGTGTTTGCTTTAGATAAGGCAGAGGCAGAGAAAGGGTGCACATGGGGAGCATATGGTAAAGCAAATGGGACAAAAGTTTAACAGCTGATGAATTATTGGAAAAGGTATTCTGACGGGCCAAGGAGATGGCGCAGAACGGAAGGGTGCTCGCTGCACAGGCCCTGGTGTTTATCACTGCAATAGAAATCTTAAGACACACGCACATGCACATGCTTGTGCACACATTCACAATCGCCAAACTCACAAGATGCATCAAGGCCTGAGGGTAGAGAAACAGGGCGTGGCTGAAAGGCCCAGAGCAGAGGACACATCTGTCGAGTGTCCTCTTTAGCAAGCTGTCACTCATGCTGGGGTGGGGCTTATTGGTGACACAGCTCCCCAAGGGTCACCCATGCTCCTGCACACAATCCCTCACTCACGTTGTCCCAGTAAGGAACCCTTCACAGACTCGCTGAGCTGGGCTTGGTTGGAATTATTTCTTTGTATGTTGCTGCCCTCTTGGTTCCAAGCCATTTCTGTATCCCCTGGAAAGTTACAGCACTAACAAAAGGCTCATTCCATTATATTCAGATTTCATATCAGAGGGGATGGTTGGGACATCAATACTGTCATGTTTTGGTGTAGTCTCCAAAGAGAAAATCCAGAATTCCCTATTCAAAGCATTCAGATCATTCCAAATGCAAACACGTGGGAGGCCAGGGTCTCCGCACATCCTTCAACTGAACAGCATTCACAACCGGTTAAACACAAGTGCGGGAGGAGAATCCAGCTGTCTTCCGCTAAACCAGACATTCAAGTGACTTGACAGAGTACACAGCAGCGCTGCTTTTCTCATTAGGCAGGATCTGAAAAATACAGTCATTTTGAGTAAAACTCCGTTATTCATATTTGTGTGTGATGGAGTTATTGTTCTCTTTAGTGAATTAAACATGGCTAAGAATTGTCAGCTTTCATCTCTAACACATTATCAATAAATATAACTCAGGCAGTCAGAGTCGCTAAAACTAGAACCCAAACCACAAGTGCCACAGTCAGCAGACCCAGATTCCACCAGGTCACCACCAAGTGTGGCCACATAGAACACACGAGGTCTGTCTTAATTCAGGGTTATGTGGTGACACAGTGGGCTTTGAGGGTTCACAGGAAATGAAGACACATTCTACATGTGTTCATTTCTGGTCAGCGCCCTTCACGGTGGTGTGTGACATTACTGGGTCATTTTGTTTATGTCAAAGGAAACAATGGCATTTTTTTTTACCTGCCACAGACTGTATTTCTATTTCCATCTATTTACCTAAAGGAGAGGAGTTGTTTGTATACCATGTGTATATATTCATGGCAATGTATGTGAAGCATGGGGATCCTCCTGCCTCTTGTTCCCTCTCCTTGGGATGGCAGGCGTGCACTGTGGGGAACTCATGTGTGCCCAGAGAGCATGTCAGTGAGAAGTGAACTTATGCCTCTAGTCCCAAAGAAGAAATTTTCAAAGTCTTTGACTACCCAAACCTTAAACCAGTATGTTCAGATAGTGAGTGTTTCTTAATTAATACTGGGAGATTTAAATACACAGCCGAGGGGCTGGAGAGATGGTGGTTTGGCAGTTATGAGCACTGGCTGCTCTTACAGAGGAGGACCTGGTTTCAATTCCCAGCACCTACATGGTGACTCACAATCACTTGTAACTCCAGTTACTATAATGATATGTATGTTGTAATAAGTAAAGCTTGCCTAAATATCAGAAGGGCAAAGCTAAGACACTGGAGATCAGGCAGTGGTGGTGCACACCTTTAATCCCAGGATTTGGGAGGCAGAGGCAGAAGGATCTCTGTGAGTTCAAGGACACCCTGGGCTACTTAAGTGTTAAGTTGGGAGCTTAGGCCCCAGCCCCTTGCATCTATCCTAGCCTGACCTTGAGAGTTAGCACTCTGACCTCCAAATCCCAGCAGGCCAGGTCCTGACCCTCTCCCCTCCAGACCCCCTCCCTGGAGAGGAGGGACTCAGGACCACTCCCACAGAATATTTAAGTGAACTCCCAAAAGAGGAGCACGTGTCTCTTTTCCTTCCTCCTGGTGTTTGTGTTCGCAGCCCCTCGGGGAATACCCGAGTGGGCAGGACTCCCATTAAACCTGGATATTTGGCTTGTTTTGATTTGGCTTGATTGGGATTTTGCATAGGCAGAGAGCTCACATTAGGAAATATTCCTAACAATAAGATCAACACAGGAACAAATCCAGGTGACGGTGCCTCACACCTTTAATCCCAGCACCAGAGGGAATATAAAATAAGAGGAGAGAGAGGCTGCAGTCACCCAGCCTTGGTAGAGCAAAGACTTCTCTAGTGGCTTGGTTGGTTTGCTTTTCTGATTTTCAGGAGTGAACCCCAATTTCTGACTCTAGGTTTTTATGATTCGTGCTACAAGTTACAGGGGATCCAACATCTCCTGAACTACATCAGCACCAGGCACACGTGGTACACAGACATCCCAGCAAACAACCCATACACATAAAACAAAAAGTAAAAAAAAAAAAAAATTACAGAAGAAATTGCAATTCTTGCAAACGAATACAGAAATTGATTTTGTTTCTGATCTAAGCTGCCGGTCATTGGCGTGGGCTGTGTGACATCCCCTGTCACTCTCAAGTCCCTCTGTCTAAGATGGAGATTTCCAGCGCCTGGTCCACCCCCTCGCTCTGTAGACGCTGTCCTAATAGCACTGGTGGGCCCAGCCAAAGGCAGGGAAAGCTGGCTGGATCTTCAGAGAGTTAAAGGTTTACACTTGGCTGGAGAAGTACCAGAAATCCCCACAGCAGCTCCAGGCTGCTTTCTCCTCTTTGTGTGGCCTCAGAACAGCTAATCTGCATGATGCAGAAGGACTCGCAATTGTTCCCCGAGGCGGAAATGGCTCTGTAAGAGCACCTATTACACCTCCATCCGGGACAATTGAAGCAATTCCTCCAAAATGGACGCCGCTCACAGCACTTTGCATAATGCTCTCCGCCCTGCTGGTAGGACCATCCCTAAACTGGCTTCCCCAGCTGCAATCTACCCCAGGCTGCTTCATCAGAGTGGTAGGCAGGCAAGCTCCGCCCCCTCCATCCTGCAGGCCCTCTCATAGGTGGGACTGGATTGGTGCCACTTCACCAGGGCCTTTCAGGCTCACCTGGTCAGGGGTGCCATGATAGCTTTGGAGAAAAACAAAATCAAACCAAAAATTCATAGAATAAATTGGGGGGGGGGGGAAGAAAGAAAAGAAGGACTTTCTGTCTCTCTCTCTCTCTCTCTCTCTCTCTCTCTCTCCTTTCTTTCCCTTCCTTCCTTCCTTTTTTCCTTTCTTTCTTTTTGACAGAACCTCCCCAAGTCTGAATCTTTGTGATGACACCTAACTGCACACAACTGTGCTTACTGAATCCTCAAGGTAGAGCCAATCACAATGCCTTTCGTACATAATGTATAGAACACACTTAAAACCATTTAAGAAAGCTGGAATAAGGGCGGCCCTGCAGGCATCGTTACAGGCAGGGAAATGAACAGTGAAGAGGTGAGAATGACCTAGTCAGCCTGCACCAAACTTCAGGGAGTCTGATGCCAGGCAGTTTACTGCCAATAAACAGAAACACGATATAATTTGGGGGAAAAAAAGTTTCATTGTGTAATACAATTCCCAGTGAGCAACAAAGTGTAATTACATTGAAACTCAGCTCAGGGCACGTGTCATTCCCTCCAAAGAGATGGGATTGAGAGATATGCTACTTGTATTAGCTTAAGGACCTAGGGAAGGGTCTGGCATGGTCTTGGTATTACAGATAGTACAGAGGCCATTTGGGTTATTAGCCACCTCTGGCCCTGGCTGTGGGAGTTTGGGGAGTCCCTAGCTGTACAGATACTGTAAGTGTCATTTAGATGACTCGCCACCTCTGGCCCTGGCTGTGGAGCTTGATGTAGCCTGGCTCAACAGATAGTGTGATCGCCAGGCTATTAATCACCTCTAATTCCCATCTTTCTGGAGGGAAGAACAGGTTTTACATCTTGAAAAGCCAATCCTGCCTGCTCAGCATTCCTGGATTCCCTGGAGATCTTTGGGTAGAAGGACCTTCACACTCCCCACACTAGAAGAAAGGATATCGAATGTTTCCACCATAAAGAACGGCAACGGAGTGAGGTGATGGATGCTGGTCCTGATTTGGCCACAGCAATGCACACAGCAATAGGACCATTATATGGTACCCTGTGAGTACAGCTTTATGTTTTTAATGTATCAGCTCCCTGTTATTTAATTCTTTAAAGTGCTAAAGGAGGCTAACGAGATGGCTCGGTAGGTAAAAGTGCCACCACCGCCTGGCTAGATTTACGATGTTTAAGGATAACATTTTTCAGAATTTCAAAAACAGTACCAACCCCAGAACACCAGGATTTCTTCCCAGTTCAGTTTCATTCTTTGGAAAATTCTCTCATCTCTGGCCTTTGAATTCCGCACAGCCCAGCCTGGACTCTTGGGACTAGAAATCACCAGCCAGGAGGACAGCTTGTCATGGGTGACAATGAATGTGGGGAAAAGTCATAAGGCCACAGAACATACCTCTGACTTTGTCATCTGGCTTCATGTCAGAGCCACAAAACTATTGGTAATGTTAGCCACTGGAGAGGGAAAGTCGTTCTTTTCATAAGAGCGTAGCCCCTGGTAAGTTGACCATACCCAAGTGAAAGGCCACATATCCAAGAATATTTATTTGGACAGCACAAATTCTTCTCGATTTTTTTTTAAGTACACAGATCTTGGTGGGTAGAGCAGAGGAGGGCGGTCTGGGAGAGTCGGGGAAAGGCGAATATGATCAAATCGCATATAAAATTCTCAGAGCTTTAAGAGAAATAATAGCGGAGCAGGGTGGTAGGATTTCAGGGGGGGGCAGCACACAGACACCTCCTCAGTAGAAGAGCACCTGTTGTCCCCGAGGATTGGATGTGGGCGTGGAGCGGGTCTGCCTGCCAAAGACACTGGCGAATTTGGAGGAACCCTGAAGGCGTGGAGGATTGCATTGTTTCCCACAGCCAGTCCTGCAACTCGTGAACGGGAAAGGGAAAGGTCACTCGCCATGGAGGTGGACCACTCAGGCCCTGTGCTAACACAACAGAGAGGGGATATTGCATTTCCTTGAAAGACTAGTCGCGAGGAGGTGCAGGTGTGAGAGAAGGGTGGAGATGGGATTTGATTTGCAATATACTCAAATCCAGGCTACCATGGGGTCATAAAAGAGGGGTCTATGAGAAACCGTAGACGAGATGAATGCGCGCTCAACTCTTGACATGGCAAAATACAACCGAGGTAATTCTCCTAACTCAAAGATTGGTACCAGGCAAGGTATCCACTTTCAAAAATGGGGCTCTGCTAGAGTGTGAGTACGCCGAGACGGAACCCCCTATCGTATTTGCTGCTGTGTCCATCCAGTGTCTGGCCCAGGAGATGTCTAACTAGTGATTAAAGGGATGCACTGCCTTCATCAGTGTTAGGAACACAGAAAGGAGTGCTGAAATGCCACTGGCCCGGCACGAGCCCTCTATGGAGTCCCCTCCCTCATTAGCATGCCCACCATGTCAGTGAAGCACAATTTTTAGCTTTATTGGCAACTAAAGAAAACATAATAACAAAGTTGTTTTTGTTTTAAGTCCTGTCTATCCAGCTGCACTGCTAGAACAATCAATCTAAACTTCTGGTTTTCAAACCCTGCACATGAGATGGATCAGAGCTGAACTGGGGATCAAAGTTGGCTTATGCCAACACCCCTTTCAGAAGTGGTTGACCTCGATTGTTATTTAAACACTGAATTCAAACCCCAGCCATAATTGCTGCCTCAAGTGTGTGTGTGTGTGTGTGTGTGTGTGTGTGTGTGTGTGTGTGTGTATGTGGTGTCTTTCTCTGTGTATGTGTCTATCTGTGTATGGTGTGCCTATCTTTTACTGTCTCTCTCTCTGGTGTGTGTCTCATATCTCTGTGTGTGTGTGTGTGTGTGTGCATGTGTATGTGTGTTGTGTCTGTGTGTGGTGTGTCTGTCTTTGTCTCTGGTGTGTGTGTGTGTGCATGTGTATGTGTGTTGTGTCTGTCTGTCTCTCTCAGTGTATGTGTCTGTGTGTGGTGTGTCTGTCTCTGTCTCTGGTGTGTGTGTGTGTGTGTGCACGCGTGCGTGTATGTATGTGTGTGATTCAGTTAGAATGTGATGTGATCTTGGGAGGGGCACTGGGACATGGATGACATGAAATCAGATGGAGGCTTGTGAGGTGGGAGGAAGGAAGAGACTGCAGGAGGGGGGCCACAGATGAAAATAATGAAACCAGTAACTTCATATGCTGACTGAAAACACTATTTAAAAAAAAAAAAGGAAGGCACAGTTTTCTCTTCCCACCAACAGAAAGCAAACCCAGCAGGCCACACTCAACAACCGCAGGCAACATTGGCTGTCACCTGGGGCTCAGGACACCACTGGCTGCCATTGAACACAGGACACTGGCTGCCCACTGGTGACCCCTGCTCTTCCTATCCTGTTTACAGTGGGGTGTTTTAGTGTCCCCGCTGGTTCGCCCCCAGTTGTCTTTAATACAAACTGCTGAGATTTCCTCAGCCCCCTTAAAGTGTGGGTAGAAGTGCTGTAGGAAACTGTTATTAAAACAATCGAAACTGTTTGTTTCATGAATTAGTATCAAGTCCCTCAGCTGCTCCCTACTTCCTTGTAAGATGTGGATCCCGAGCCCACATTTATGCGTCTAAAGACAGACAGCTCTCTGCTTCAGCTGGATGGCTGCTTCTCACCAGGTTCAGCTGGATTATACGCAGTTATCCTGCCAAGTTCCTTTAGCCTAGAATATGAAACACCTCCCCCATGCAACACACAGTTCCCAGCACCCACCCAGCTCACCTGCAGGAGCTGCAGCAGCAGTAGCAGCAACCAGGTGCAGCCTCTTATGGCCATGTCTAGGTGAGCACGGGGCAGTCCTTGGAGCCTGGTGGCCTCACCAGGAGCCAGGCACCAGCTTTCCAGCCAGTGACATCTCCTCTAGTCACTCTCTTGAGTATTTCGTCCCCACTACTTCACCCCAGCTGATCCTTCAGTCCTCTGCCCCGCTTGCCTATGTCAGAACAGGTGGGTTGATGGGTAAGGTGTGACCTCATCTGTGGCCAGCAGAATCTAGGGGAGCAAGAGTTCAGATACCAAACACCAGTCATGTGTGTACACAGAAAACTGGCTGGATGTTCACCTTGGGGATTATAGCTCAGCCAAGGAAAGACGGCCCGCACCTACAGGAAGAGGCAGTTCATTGTTTCTTTGTTTCTTGGTTGGTTTTTAGTTTCTAAATAGAAGTCCAATAATCCCTCAATAGTAGGGCAATTAATGATGCTTAAAATCAGTCAAAACTGGAAAAACAACCCCAAGAAATTATAGAGCGCGCGCGCACACACATACACACGCACACACACACACACACACACACACACACACAGAGAGAGAGAGAGAGAGAGAGAGAGAGAGAGAGAGAGAGAGAGAGAGAGAGAGAGAATGGTGGCAGCTCAACAAATGTGCCAGTCAGTTCCCCTTCTGTTTTCTAACTGCACACCTGCTGGGCCAGGCACTCGGTGGACACAGAACACAGCAATAAACAAACACAATAAATAGGAAGAATCCTGTCTTGGGTGACCACACTCTGGTGAAACCTCACAAAACTATACCGGGGGAAATGTGGGAGGAAGAAAGAAATGAAGGAGACTTGGGACAAGACTCCTCTATAGAGCATTTACCCATCATGCACATGGCAAGGCCCTGAGTTCCTTCTGCCACTAGCACAGAAAAATAAGTTACTTCTCTACAACTTCCCAAAGCATGTTACAAAATCTTTATTCTAAGCATATCTGGGCTCTAGACTGTACAGACGTTTCTACCCAAACCTCTTATGAATGAAGATGGAGTTAAAGTGTAGGCAGAGAGATGGAGAAAGAGCAAAGTTTGAAGCAAAATCTGAACTTGGACTTTGGCAATCTTAATTAATATATGAATTGTTGTCTCCTTATCCCTCCCAAAGTCATGACCAGCATTCAGCAGGCAAAATGGGTAATCTTCCTCATCGGCTTCCTGTGTCCTTGGAGTGTGAGCTGCAGCTGACTGTGTGTGTTGAATTGTTAGCATCTAAGCTCCTCTAATTCTGCCACTGAGAAGGTAGAGATGGTGTGGTGGCCTATTAGTGTTCCTATGGAGAGAAAGAGAGAGAGAGAGAGAGCAGGCTTCTAGCATTCCTGTACAGAGAGAGAGAGAG